CTCTCTCTCTGGCATTTTTACCTCTAAATATTTAACAATTACTGACGCAATAGAGAAACAAATAGCGCTGAGAATTGCGAAAATAATTCCCTTATATAACACCCATTTGTCTGTTGTGTTGGGAATATCTTCACTCAAATCGTCGCTAACTTTCAAACCATTACTTTTCATATAATTCTTGTCATTATTTCCATTCACTCTCTCATCACTTGACGTGAATTTATTGTTCGCTTTCTGTCTCTCTATAGATCCGTACCGTATGTTTGGTTGACTTAACATTGATTTCACGTTAATATTAGTTCATTGCTTTTGAGACAAATGTTTGCCTTTTCAACAAATTTATAAATTGGATAAAACTATATATAGTTATACGAAAAATATGTAAATATTTTATTTTAATTACAACTCAAGTGTTTTCCCAAACGATTTGATTGAAGGCATAGATTATATCTGTGATAAAAGATGTGAAAACATTAATTAAGTGTTGATTTTTGGTGTGAATTCAAAACGAGTTCAAAACAATTCATTCAATATCTCGTGAATTATAAACAATAATCACATTTTAATTATTATTTTCGGTTTTTCTCTTCCCATACTTTATATTCAAATATCATATTCAAACTTATGGCACAAGTTTTAAAGTTTGAAATTCAAACACTATTACAACAATTATTTGGTTAAATAATTTACATAAATCCTAAACACTACTAAACATATTTGAAATTAGTGTTTATTTTGAAAACACAGACATAATTGTCATACATATGCCTAATATTCTTGCATTTCTTCATTGAAATAATATTTTTATAAACAGTTTTATGTTATTTGAAAGTATTTAAAATTATATTTATTTAACATAAAATTTCAAATTAAAATAATCCATTAAAACAGTAGTCAATTAAATAATCAAATAATAATTGAGAAAATTTTACATAATATTAAATAAATATTAATTTAAATTAATGAGTATTTTGTCCAAAAAAATAACAGTTATCATAAATTAAAATGATAATTACAATAAATATATACTGTATTTGAAAAACAATCATTTCTTTTATGTTATTTCATATTAAATATATTTGTTTACGAAAATCACTATAAATTACACAACAGTTTGTCATTTACTCTAAAAATTAATTAAATCAAAATAAAAATCACATTTAATTTGGTTTCTTATACTCAACGATGACTTCCTTTGGCTCTATATTTAAAACACTAATCTATCGTTTCATTTATAAATTTAATTATAACTAATATAAAAGAAAATTAAAACTATATTTAAATGAGTGTTTGCGAAGAGATTTGGGGCAGAGTTTCGCTATAAATATATTTATTATATTTACTATACTATGCGTTAAATCTCGATTTGAAATAATACCTAATATTTTTAAAATCTCATAAAAATCACGTTTAAATCATTGCATTTGATATGAAATAATCAAATCCAGTATTAATCCGGTTATGAACGGGAGCTTCGGTTTCATATATAAAATATGACTTAAAATGCGAGTCAAACCCTAAATATCATTAAAATATTTAGTATTTTCACTCATTTCTCTCAAACAATGTCATCAAAAAACATTCATAAAATTTGTCATAACTGATAATAATCTATGAATTAAATAAATACATGATATATTGAATGCCAAATGTGGTAAACCCTCGACAACAACAGCACAACCACAAGCTATTGTATCATGAAATAGCACTTGGACTTAATGCGGGAGTGCTCGGGCTGTGTCATCACCCATTTGCGAACACTGGTTATTATGATACAAGTGGTCACCAGTAAGGCACCGGCTATTGACCACATGTCGGGCACGTCGTGGAACAGCCAGAGTTGCCACACGAAGGCCAGCGCTATGTCGGTGGCAGCCCTGACCACAGCGACGGGTCCCGCCTGTTCTAACTGCAGCGATCGGGTCAATAGGATTTGCCCGCAGAACGAGAATATTCCCAACAGTATTATTAACAGCCATTCGGTGCCCGTTTTGGGCGACGAGAAGCCGTCCATCAACGCCGTGATGATCACCGTCTCGACGATCGCAACCCAACCGAAGTTAAACATTATGACCGAGTGATGAGCGCCTATAGGTTTGTATGCAATAATAATAGTTAGTATTTAATTAATTATTCAACATTTTATTATATCATTAATATATTAACGACTAATCAATGAATGAGAAAAATATTGAAATATATTTATTATTTAGGAGTCGATTAGAGTAATGAAAAAGAGGGCCAAAAACACTGTTTTCAATGCAAACCTTTGGCTTTTCTAATGAATATGAAGACAGAAGAGGCAAATATAGTGGATGTGAGCGCCGACAGCACACCGTAGATATGGTGCAGCTTCTGGTTGGCCAACAACTCTTGCCTACTGTCCGACGCGACCGTCATATTGACCAACAGAGAAGGTATGCTTGCGTTCACGTATTGGGAGTTAATGTTGATATCGCCGTCGGAGCCGAAGATTATGGGCAGTTTTGTGGTCAGTGATAGGCCTAACATTGTTAGCAATACAGTTATGGTCTGAAAAACACCGCACGGCTCCTGAAAACAGGGCAACAAAAATAATTAAATGAAACAAAATTCACCATAATTTTCAATATTCACTTACTTTGAGGAAAATACAGGCAAACAGTGAAACAAATACGGGCACAGAGAAGATGATGACCGACGCGTCGGCGATCGGCAGATACCGAAAGGCCGAGAAGCGGAGGAACAGCGATGTGGCGCCCGCTATACCCCTCAGCAGCAGAAAGTGTCTCAACTCCGGCGGTCCGAACGGATTGCTGCCATTCCTAATGACCAGAGGTATCGTTAAGACTAATATACCGATGAATCGGAAGACAGCCAACTCTCCCGGATGTATGCCCTGAACAGTGCGAAAGTGGCAAATAGTATGTCATTAATAATTATTAATTTTAGTTTTGTTTGATATTTAATTATGATTTAAATTTCAAGATTTAAGACAATTAAAATATTTTATACATTTTTCTGACTGCAATTATGCGTGAAATCATTGTGAAAATAGTTACAAAACAGGCGATTGAATTAAAATAAAGTTAAAATAAAATAAAGACAATTAAAGTGTTAATGAATTGTCGAAAGGCATTGACATAAATCTAAAGTTAATAATTATCTCAACTGTCGTTAGCCCTCATTTTATTTTATATTTTTATGTATTGAAAAATAATAAATTTTCTTTAAAAATGTTATAAAATAAAGATTTTCAATAAAAAAATACACACAATATATAAGTATTATAAAAGTGACAATTGTGTGCAATATATACACACATTTCGCACATTGAAAATATCCATGAATTCCCATCATTTTATGTTATTTAAACTATATTTTTAGGCTTTAAATCAATAAATAGTTTGCAAACAATATGTTTAGTTAGGATTTGAGAGGAAATGTCTTTTTAGTTCACTTTCAAAGCCTTTTAGTCTATAATCGTTACTCAAAATAATGTATATTTTGTTTGGCTTTACGATTATTTTGTCAATATTTTTACAAATAAATGTCAAAAATAATCTAAAGTGCATTAAATGTGTTCATAATTTACATAAAAACGATTTTATTTGTAATAAAACTTAAATTTAATTCAAAAATATATCATTTATAAAAACAATTCAATGTTTTAGAAATCGCAAGAAATTGTTGCCAAGAATAGTGTCTAAAAGAAACTCATTGTACAGAATATATAAAATTGCATTTAATTTAATGAACAAATCGTTAACAAAATAGTCATTGGATTAAAGAGTTTTGTGTAATAAGGAATAAAATCAATGCTAATCAGTGTCTGGTTTGTCAGGAAATTGAATTAATTCAAGCGATCACTTGTGATATAGAAAATACTGTATAAACTAATTGCCAAAACTTATGGTTACGTGTATTTCTCGCTGGAAATTGACAAACATTTTGTGCAAAAAAAGTTTATAAATATTTCCGTTTAAAACATTCAATGCATTGAATATTACATTATTTCTATATCTAAACTATTGTCTCTCAATATTAGACAAATAAAAATTAAACAACAAAATAAAAATCATATATTTAAACACATTTCCCTTTTGAATGCAAACTAAACGATAATAAATTCTATGCAATGAAATTCACTGCAAATAATGCGATAATAAAGTGTTAATAACATTACAGAAAATAAGGTAAAATAGACATCAAAATCTCATTACTAAATATCTCACAATTTATAGCGAAACGTAAACTCAAATAAACAGCAAAAACACATTGAATTTACAATAAAATATATATTAATACCAAGAAATAAAATGTATACACAAAATACTACCAACAAAAATTAACCACAAGTTTTATCATGTATTTAATTCTGTCTCACGTAAAGCTATAGATAGCACAAAAATAAATACCATTGATGTCACGGAACAGCTCTTGAAAAAACACATGCAATGGAAGCATAGTTTTTGCTATCAATTAATCATTATATTTATAATAATAGACAATTTCTTCGTCTGTTTAGTGCCTTAACTGTAATTTTAGTTTTGAAATATTGTTTTAACACAAATATAGTATTAAAAACTTACATAAAAAACACTGCTTTCACTCTAATGGCAAAAACTCAGGCAAAAGATTGATTATAATTTATAAACGGTTTTCGCTATTAATAAAACTCTTATTACAAGCATTAGAATCGGTCAACAAATATAAAGAAATATATATTTCTATATCTAATGGGAATTAATCAATATTTTTGATGCTTTTCTTAGTTTTTCTTTTGATAAAACGTCGATAATATCTAATAAAGTATTCAATTATAACAATAATTCATATCAAAAATATAGATTAAGTCAATGAAAAAATACCAATTTTTTGCAACAAAACTATTTGAGACTAAAATCAATAATTTTGTCAAATATTCTCTCAAAACAACTATTTTGTTAAGAGAAATAAACCTAATCTTTACGTATTCTCTCTCTCTCTCTCTCTCTCTCTCTCTC